ATATAATTTAGATGAATATGTTTAAAAGAGACATTTCTGATGAAAATTCTTGTAACTTTTGTTCAAACACAGAAGAAAGGATGTTTGCTTATGAGTTGGTTCATTTTGCTGCACACCTGCACAGACATTTCCACTTTTTTACCAGCAGATGGAGACACTTACTTATGCGGAATCGACCTAGACTGTGGATACGGCCTTTTATTTAGAAAAAAGATGTAGAATAAATAACCCAAGGGAAGCATGCAATGTAAATAAAATTGGCACCAATATAGATCCTTGAGGAACTCCATAATCAGCATGGCTTTAAAAGAAGATATATTTTCTAAATTTGRGGGAGAACCTAGATTTGGCTGTTGCCTCTCAGCAAGAAGGTTACTGGATCAAATCCAGGGACCTTTCTAGGTAGATTTTGTTCTCTCCGTGCATGCGTGGGTTTTTTCTGGTTTCCTTTCCAAAAACAATGTTCAGCTAATTGGTAACTCTAAACCGTCCCTAAGTGAGAATGAGAGCATGAATGTTTGTGTCTATGTGGCCCTATKATTAACTTGTGGTGTACCCCTCCCCTCACACAGTTACTGTTGGATATGGGCATCAGTGACCATTGAAAGGAAGAAGTGGGTAAAATATAATGGATGGAYCTTTAAAGATTGGATAAATTGTGTTTTGAAGGACCAAAGCTTTCCACCAGAGATAAATGTCTCCACTTTACTAAAGTTTTTTTGCTTGAGTTATTTTGTGTTTGAGGCAAAAATTGAACAGTTTGGAAATAACGTGGCATATTGGTGTACAGAAGAGGCTTAAATTCAAAGAGTGTATRTGAAGTTATCAGAAAGCTGCATTTATTGCTGTAAAAACAATACAAATTTAGCACAAAAAGTAAGTTCATTTTGGTAGTTAAGTGCCAGGAGGACTGCGACCAGTTATACATCGGGGAAACAAAGCARCCACTGTTCAAAAGAATGTCCCAACACAGACGAGCTACATCTAATGGCCAGAACTCTGCAGTTTTCACTCATTTACAGGCCAGCGGTCACTCTTTCAGAGATGAGGATGTTCTCATTCTTGATAGRGAGGAACGTTGGTTTGAGAGAGGAGTAAAAGAAGCCATTTTGTGAAGAAAGACCGTCCATCATTAAACAGAGGTGGAGGCCTCCGTTTTCAGTTGTCCCCCTCCTACAGCACGGCCATTGCCAGTATCACTCCACCCCCTGTTAACAATAGGTGTTAATTAGGTGTCAACKATAGYMATGTGATGTGAGTATCAGTCACATGGAGGCAGGGCTTAAAAGCCTGAATTTTGCCTGAAACTCTCAGACTGAAGAAGTCTCTTGGAGGAGAGACGAAACGTTTCATTARAGAAGAACCCGTCCAGAAGACCTACACAATTTTTTTTCTTTTTGATTTTTTACCTGGATTACTGAGATGCATCAGGACATTCATTTTGGTTGATTATTTCTTTCCTGTAACAATGCTTCCTGGCAATAAATCTTATACGGTTGGAAAGCCTGTTCATTTCCCTTTTAAATGGTGCCAGATTTGTAAGGAACATGCATTTGTGGGATGAGCAGTAGAACTGAGTATGTGGGTTACACACATGAAAAATTAGCCAAATCTTCTCTGTCAAACAATTTATTATGTTGTTATTGACCTTTTTTTAAAGTTTTTGGTACGCCCAGGTTCTGCCAGTCAGGTGCCCACTGTAAGATTTATTGCCAAGAAGCATTTAGACATAATCTACCAAACACAAGTTTCCTTAATTTTGTGCTAAGTTTAGTTGGATGGGTATCCCCACAGTCAGTTTTAATTTAATCACTGGTATGAAATAACAGCACACGATCAACAGCCAGTCTAAAAAAAGCAAAACAAACTTTTATTATTTAGTATCTCAGGAATACAGTAGACTGCTGTGCACAGCACATACGTACAAAAATAAAAGGAAAAAACTTTTCTCAGCATCGTCTGTTATCAGAAACAAATAGCTAAACTTTGTTTCTCGTCATTTTTACAGTGATCAGCAAACCAAAACTATAAGGCAGAAGGTGAGGTATATGAAAACAGYGGAGAGGAATAGAGTGGAGGCTCAGTCCAACAAATAAAAATAACACATGAAGCACACGCCCCTTAGTCAAGCTCCGGACTCAGGCATGCTAATATACATTCAAACATTAAAGGAGATTATCCTCACCTTAACTTGTTTCAATTTGAGCTCCAGTGGAAAGAAAAAAACAGGGTTTAGAATCAAGATGTCCTCATTAAGGTGCAAAAACCAACATCTTGATGACGTCCTCATTGCTGTGCATGCACAACATTAATTCTACACCTTCCTCAAGTAAATCATTGAAAATGAAGATTATTTTCTTAACAYCTGACTCGAAATGTACAGTGCGTCTACATGCAGCTTCATCTACAGTGGCAACTACTCATTTATTTATTTATTTTTAACTTGGCTCTGCTGCATTTCCATCTGTGCTTGCAACAACGGAAACAAACATGATTTATGTGTGAGGATAACACCGTCATGAGTTGATGTGTGTAGCAGACAAGTCGAAACTCTCGGCATGTGGTGATGGGGCGGGTGTTTTGGGTCAGAACAGAGGGTTAGGTTCAGATCTGCATCACCTCTGCAGATGTCTCCGTAGACGTATTCCAACAACAGGATTTAGAGAAATAAAGGAGCAAACAGCTCTGYTTTGTTACCGGGTTGGGTTTGAAATTCATAGAAGCAACATGGTCTAAGTAATAAAGATACGCGCCGCACAAATGAATTTTGAAACCCGCGTCTAAAAAAGATATTTTAAATTCCTCCGTCRAACCGGGGACCACCCTGGCCACAGAGGTTGACTCGAAGCCTGATCAATGGCTCTGACCTTGAACTAAAAAGGGCTGAAATAAGAGGAGGAAGCTCGCAGGTTACAGCTGGAATCCAAAAGGGTGAGTTGTGGGGGTGAAGGTTGTGGGGGTACACGCACAGGCAGAGATGGGCATTTTATAGTTCAGGTATGTTGGAAGCTGCCTGTCATCCTGGCAGAGTCACATTCCTACAGGGGGTTTTGATGAACAACAAAGAYTCTGTGCCGACTTCGGTTTTTCCGGGGGGCTTCCATTCATGGGTGGATGGAGGCTGACGGTGAAACAAGCCTTCGTCATTGTTGTTTTTTTTTTTTTTTAAGTGTAACAGCTGCAGAAACTACACTGGTAGATGCACTCCGAAGGACTTTTGGGAATTCAAAGAATGAGACAAGAAAAGCAGCTTTGGAATATGTAACAAGATATGTGAACACGTGTCTACRCAGCACCTCAAACTGCTTCTTTTCTTCAACTTTGCTAAAGTTTGAACTTAAGCTTAACAGAAATATTGATGCCAAGTGAGAAACTCCTACTCTTTGCCTCCAGTCCACCAAATGTGTTGCGTTTTAGTCCTTCCAGGTACAAAACTGACTCATCTGTAATTGCATTTAAAACAATTTGCCCCCAGTTCCCAACACCTAACTGCTGCAGTGCTGCTGCAGAAAAGATAGGCTGACAGGAGAAGAAGGACCAGTGATCGAGCATCCTTCAACCAACACCTCAACATGAAGAAAAACTAAAAACACTGATGAATCATTAAATCATTTGAGGATTTTGCTGGTTCATTGTGCAGCTCTTTTGTACTAAAAAGCTCCCAAAGCTTTAATTTATTTTGTTCCTGTTTGTAGCTATTTACATTGTTTTCCACTTATGTGATCATTTTAGTAGACAGCAGCTAAAGCTTTGCGTTTCATAAACAGCAGCAACCCACTTTACTGTGGGGGCTCTTTCTTTCAGAGACAGTGTGTGCAGGAACATATCTTTTGTTTGCTTTAACCGCCCAGGCGATACTTGTGCGTTTCTCCATGCTGCAGCAGATTAGTATTTCCACCCTGGTCTCAACCGCAGATTGTTTATTACTCAATCAGTCTAATTAGAGGAAAGAAAATAAACCAAAAATAGTTGACCCCGCCCCCTCCCCCTCCTCCACCAAGGGCCTCTGTGTCAGCCCTATTCTGACTGCTCCGGGTGTCTCTTACACGGAGGTTTTAAAAGGGCCACGAGTGAGAACACCAAGGCACCTTTAAATCGTGCAGGAAAAGGTAGCGCGTCAAGGTTCCCCCCCAACTGGACATCAATAATCGACCGGGGAACCGTGACGCATTCAGAGGCTTCCGAACAAAATGGTCAACCCAGCAGACGTTTCAGCAGAAGTCCATGCATCCCTTCATCTAGTAAAGTGAGGTAATAAAAARTATTCATTTCACTCTTTAAAAGCACAGAATATAGCTCCATCCACCAACTCAAGAAATGTAACGTGTTATTCAGTTACAGCAAGCACCAAGGTCAAAGACAGGCAAAGGCTTCAACTCTCCCGTCTATAAAAACAATAAGCAGCACATATACAAAGACAGCTATCCAAATATGCACATATATGCATATATATATGTATAACAGAATAAGTATTTGTTTCTTTTGCAGTCCATGGGTGCTATTGTCATGACGTTGCATTTCTCTATTACCTGGAAGAACATCCACATGTGCAAATTACTCAGTAATTGTCATTTTCTCCCATCATAGCCGCGGGAGGAAGTGTGTGACGGTCATGGCGGGGCTCGCCTTGTTGCCTCTCTTTACGCGGCCATGCTTGCTGAGGGCGATGTAGAAGCCCTTGTAAACAAAAGACTCGTAGGCGTTGTAGTTGTTGGGCAGCAAAGTCTCCTTGAACTTGCACTCGTCCCTGAAGACCCTCTGGAGAAAAAAAGACAAAGTCAATTAGCCGCCTCTGTTTAAACAGCCTGAATGTGCGTCATGCTATAAAGCAGAATAATCCCATGTAATCTGATTGGAAAACCAAACTGAAACTAATCCAAAGGTGAGCTGAATCRTTAAACGAACACAGAAGGGCTGAATCAAATAAACAACTAAAACATTAGTATTTTTGTTAATAATATTAACAATCCCAGTTTTTGAAGAGTTGTTTTCTTTAATACTTTGTTGAAGTATAAATTTGACATGTATAACTAATCAAAGTAAAAGTATAATAAGAAATGTGTCTGTGATGTTAGGGAATCATTTAATGCTGCAGCTGATGGCATTAGGAGTGTATTTATCGCCTGCTGAAAGGCCAGCCTGAAGGGCTTCATTTTCAACACATTCCTTTTTTTTTATTTGTCATAAACAGGTGGATCATTTATTTTTTTGTCTTAAACGTGAAACATAACTTTTGTGATGAAAAGAAATTTCTCCCTGGTGGAAAGTGTTAATTCATTGAAACATTACATATCCAGTTTTTATAAGAAAAAAAAAACAAGAAAATAAAAAAGAAATTTCTCATCTTCTACAGCTATGGGTTATATTTTACTTGTGCCCATCTGATTTTAGAAACCAGTCACTTTTATAGATAATGTGTTTAATATTGGTGTCGTTGTAGCCGAGTGTTAATCACAACAAACTCAAAGTACATGATGAGATCTTTGAGTCAATTCTGTTTGTTAGCAAAATTTCTCATGAACCAGTGGATGGTTTTTCATCACTGGCTGTCCATCAACAACAATTCAAGATGGCTACCTCAGATAACTAATTATCCAGCACAAAACTGACTTAATCTCAGTCAATTTTGCAAACATTGAGCTAACAATAGCAGCTGATTGTTCAGCACACATTCTGAGCGTAACATGAGGGTATAGATATTATTTTCAAGCTTTGACCAAAATGAAACCAGCTAATTTTTCAACATGAGATGACTTTAGTCAAGCACTAAGCCTTTAATATGTTGTGTTTTTAAATATTAAAAAGCCATGTTGAATGATAATAYTGTATAAATGTAAAACTAGATATTAACTGTAAAAATAGGGTTTAACACCCATCTAACACATCTCCATGTATTTTCTGTCATTTTAACTTATTTAACCTGCCTTAAAATAATCTCCTGTCATTTTTTCCAAGTTTTTTTAACACAAAAACTTAACCAAATGTCTACCGTTTAACTTTTATTTGATATTTCTGACAAACTTGAAAGAAAAATGACTTAGGCTATTATTTTAAGGTGTCACTATTCTTGTTTTTTTTTTTTCACTGTTATTATTTGTATTTTGTTTAACCAAACACAAATAAAATCAGCTAAGGGATTAGTAACAGAATTGTTTCACATAAGTGTCCTGATGCATCTCATAATCCAGGTAAAAAAATCAAAAAGAAAAAAATTGT